TCTGTCCTAGAACCATTCATTGCTTGCTACAGCTTCTGTTTTAGATTCCCATTTTCAATCTTGCACTCAGTTGCTTTCAAATAGTATATGCTGCAGAATCTTCTGCTCAGTTTCATGAGCCCAGATGTCAGTACTCCAAAGCAGCTGTGCTCTTCACCATGCATGGGAAGGTGGTTCTAATGGAAGGAGTGACTGTCACACTGGTGTGTACTGAAGGTCATCTCCCATTCACTTGTAGCATTTCTGCCATCCTGCCCATCTACCCCTCCTCCCAGCGTTGTCAATTTATTCCTGAATACCTGCTCTCTTCAAGTACTTCTGCAAAATGTTAGGACATTTTTTTATTGTTGGTTTCTGATTCCAGTTTGTGCTTGGTTTCCCAATATGCTGTGAATGTAAACAAAACCATTCTAGTATGACTTAAAATAAAATACGCTAAAAGGCAAAAATAGATCTTGTTCTTAAAGCTAAAACTTGTTTCATGTCTCCCTACTAGACTGAAAACTTCATCAGGGTTTCAATCTTAGTCACACCTGTATCCCCAGTGCCTGGCACATAGGCAACTTAGTATGTTTGATGAATGAATCAAATTAAGTATCAATTAATTCTTGTTCAAAGACTCATATTGCATAGCATTCAAGAGAGTATGAATTTTCTGTTCAAGTAAGATTTTCTTGACCTTTTTCTCTCCCTTAACCTTTACAACATCAACAGTACAACACAAAACATAATAAACACCTAAATATTATTTTTGGTATGTCTGATGCACAAATCCAGATTATAATCCTTCCATCTAGGGAAATCAAATGATTTGGTGTAGTTTAATTCTGAATCAGCTTTAAAGGGAGTCTTAGGATCACTCTACACATGCCTCTACCAAAATCTGATGCCTCTGCTATTTGGAGAAAACTAAGGCACAAAAGAAAATCAAGTACATCAAAGATTCACACCTAAATCCTTTATTCAATGAACTCCTGGGAACACCTACTGAAGGGCCACTGAAGTATAAAACTGAGCTATGATTTCACATTTTCAGCTACTTAAGAGCATACTTTGACTTTACTCTGTTAAGAGGAACCGGCATTTTTCATTCTCTCAGAGAAAAAGTTGTTTTTATCGTATGGAACTCCTAACTGAAAGGTGACATTCATCATCTAGGAGGGGAAACTAGGCCACAGACTATACTGCTACTAACATTCAAAGGAGAAGGTTGGCTTTTTGGTGAGTATTTGTGCTAGAGAATGGAAGACTGCACAATCTGGTTAGCTTCTCTTACCAATGATTACAAATTTCAAACATGTAGTTCAATTATTCCTCCTTAACCTCTCTGCAGGTGAGGCAACAGGGAGGAAAAGGTAATCAGAATTCATTTCAATTTTCCAGGACAGTTTTTTGCAAGGCTGTTCTCATATACGTGGTGGGATACAAGCCACCCTAAATGAAGAATGTATCTGCAGATATAAAAATCGCTCATATTTTAATCTGTATAAAATTACTTATAGGATACTTGTCAATACCATATGTACAGAATAGTTCACAGAAGTATATATACACATGAGATGCAAATTAAATTTTTATGGCTTTCATTAGACAGAAAGCTGTGGTAAGGGAATAGGCAGGCTCTGCGTCACCTGGTTATCATAAAGCCAATGATACTCAGTCTCATATAGCCTTCCGTTTCTAGGCAACCCTCTTGTGCTAGAGAAAGGCTTTGGAAAAAAATATGTGGGGTTATGGCTCCCTTTATAGTATATACGGAGGTAAGGGGCTCTTAACTAGTTTCCTTTGCTAAGCAACTGATTATGTTTATATGTTAATGGCTAAAGCCCAAATTATGCAATGAAGAGCTATTGGGTGATGTCTGGAGGCCTAATCAAGTACAACTGGAAATAAATAATGCTTACTAGCTTTAGTGAGCAAAATCTATAGCCTAGGTATACCTGTCTAGTTACAGAGCACATCCTGATACACCAGAACCAACTTGAGGGGAACTGTGGAAGTTAACACAGGAGAATCCCCTCCTCTCTCTGGTGAGCAGAGATCACCTTTAGATATAAGCTCTGATTACAGAGCTGTTCATTATTGGTAATGCCAAAGGAGCTGTCCAGTAAAGCCTTCCATGACTGGTATGGCTGGCCATTACCATTTCTGTTGGCAACCAGATGAGTTCACAATGATTTTATATTATCCTTATAAGTTAATCCATAATTTCTGGACTTTTAGAACTATTCAAGTGTTAAACATTAAATATAATTGATAATGAAAGTTCACTAGCATCATGTTCCACAATGCTGTTGTTCATGTTCTAGAATTGCTGAATTTAAAAGTAATTAAAAACCCTAACAATGCCAACAATTTTATTTTCATAGATATAATGCACAGAAGGTAATATTTTAAAGTTCAAAAATAATTAAATGTTGGGAAAAAAAGACAGAAACTGACAGAGATATTTTGGCAAATGGGTTAAAGTCCTTCAAAGTATTCCTAACAAGAATACAACATGTAAAACTATAGGCCTATTCAATTTTCTCTTAAAATAAATATACATATACATACATAAAAAGCTATCATAATGAAACCTTCTCTAGACTGATATTCTGTATCCCACTTGGGACTATTTCCCAAATCTCCACACTGTTAAAATTCAGTGGCCATGCCTCTAGTAATGCCCCTAATTTTGTTTTGCTCACACAGAAACTGTGAGGCCATTATCACACTTTTTGGAGATGTCTACTGTCATCAGTTAAGTTCTTCCACACCACATTCACTCCATCCTGTGACCCCCAAAGACCAGTAAGCTTAGACTAAATTACCAAACCATCACCCATAAAGCAAACTGAGTCCCACTGCATTGCTACAAGATTGGCTTCAATCATAGCACCAACTACTTAATTACTTACAATCACAGCTCGTAACAGTCAGTTGACAGAAATCCACGGCAGTTCCCTAGGGCATCTTACATCTTTGGTGTAGGGCAGACAAAATCTAAAACATGTGATTGTCTAAAAGGACACTTTAAAGACAACCTGACAAACCTGTCATTCTGAGCACTCTCTTGAAAACAATAAACGACAACTTCTGCCATCCATTTCCTAACTTCAGAAAGGATCATGAGAAATCTGTGTGACTTTTGTCACATCACTAAAGTCCTCTAACACATATAAACATCATAGCAACAAAGAAAGGAACTGGGATAGGGTAGAAGAAATATACATGTCTCTCAGTGCCCCCAAATTAAAATTTCAAAAACTCTTGAGATATGAGCCTTCATTCTGATTGTGCTCAGTGAGTTGAATTTTGATAGAAAGAACAAGTTTTCAAAGAGTTAGATTTTAGACAAAACTATTTAACACTAAATTCACAAATCATCCTTCCAAAGCTTCATTTTCAAACACACTGCTAACTGTAATTCTCAAAATTCTTTTCAATAAAACCCAGATTTCAGATTCCTGCTAGGTACCCTAAGAGAACAGTTTGTTTTTCAGAAAAGAAGGATCTAAAACCTATCTAATAGGATTATTGCACGGTGGGGCCCCAGTAGGACAATGACTTCCGAGGGCTAGTTTTCATGTAAAAGGCCACAATATGCTATGCCCCACTCTTTACATGGTAGACACAAATATGAAGAATCTTGCTGAAAAATTAAACTCCTGAGGAAAAAAGAGGATGGAAAACTCTACCAAGGCCACTTGAGTCAGAAACTGCAATAATTATTTCCACTGCTGTGATCCCTGAACTAAACCTACTGCCATTGAGTTGATTCCAATTCATAGTGACCCTTTAAGACAGAATAGAACTGCCCTATAGGGTTTCCAAGGCTGTAAATCCTTCTCTCATGGAGCAGCTGGTGGGTTCAAACCACTGACCCTTTGGTTAGCAGCTGACTGTTTTAACCACTACCCCACCAGAGCTCCATTGCCGTAAAGGACTCACCAAACAGACTGACCATTCCGCACACCAAAATGAACCAGTGACAAGGTTATCGCACTTCAACAATCCACTCAGCTCATAGCACAAAACTGAGCTTTAGAACTTCTTAGAAGAGTTTAGAAAAGAAATGAACTGCTGGCAATCAACCCATTAGCTGAACATAAATTGATCAAATAATCACTAAGGGTTGAGGTGTGATCAATGAGATGCTAGCAAATCCAATCTCAAGTAAATTCCAGTGTTCAGGCCATTATTTTTCACTCACAGTTCTTGAAACACCATCAAGACATTTGCAAATGGAATTATAACTTGTTTTTTTCCATTTAAATCTGGGTAGCACCATGTTTCACTCTAATGTTAATTCTCCCACAATACCCCACCCAGTGTAATATTTGGCAATCCATGCAGCAGTCTGCAATGTACAAAGTAGCCCAAGTTTTAAACCCTCCCACTTACCCTATTAAAATGTCAGACCCTAAGCACACGAGTAAAAAACACCACTCGAGGAGTTATTATTCAATTGTTCTCCCATTTCCTGTGGTAACTGATGAATCATAATACACAGAGCACTGGGTGTAATTCCAAAAACATCAAATTACGTGGTCAAAAGTTTGTAACTTGACAACTGAGTCAACATGCCATACCTTGCCTATAGCACAGCCACACAGCCACAGTGTTAAGTTAATCTGCTTTTAGCTGCACAGCTGGAGGGAGGGATTTCTAATGGCTCCTGCTTTTCAAACATTAACTCTCATTCTAAAATGGTATGCTATACACAAAGCCATCAATTTTATTCCAGAATACATCATCTTAACGAAAATAAAATGCTTTTGTGTGCACACACTGCCAATACATTTAAAAAGGCCCAAATTTAGCAAGTAGAATAGACAAATTCATCAGACAAGAGATCATATATTACTTTGGCCAAAAAAAAATCTTCTTAAAAAAAATCTGGCTCAACATTCTGCTTGCAGGTTCTACCTATACTGTATACGTGTGAGTGTGTATATGTGTGTGTGTATATAGCTTTCTTTAAGGAAACGGAATATGGTCTAGCCCACCTTCCATGGTTATGTAGGAACTACAATGTTCTTTGCTAGCAAAACAAGGAGGGCAAGGTCTGCATTTCCACCAACTCGATGTAAAGCCCCAAGAGCTTCCTGAAAAGTAAAGCCAGCACGGAGGATCCGGTCAATGTCGGCAGCGGGAAAAATCAATGGTGGAAGAAAGGAGGGACTTGATGGATGGCTGGTAGGTGGTTCCAACTCAAGGAATGGGCTGGCAGCTTCAGGACAGACATTTTCTCTGGTTTCAGGCCTGTCTGTCACTGGATTCTGTATGTCCTGACCCAAGTCTTTAACGACTATGAAACTGGATGGCAAGGACTTAGTCTGCTCAGAAGTCTGAGTGAGCGTATCCTCCTCACCTGCTAATAGTTTGGGTGAAATTTCTGCACCTAGGGTACAGTGCAGTTGATCAGATGTTTTAGCTAAGGCTAGAGGGATAGAATTGGTCTCATTTACTAATTCCCTGGATTTGGGGACATCTTCTTTATCAGTTGGCATGCCATCACCAGGACCCCTGAGGTTATTATTTTCTACATCCTCTATTTCAGCACCAGGTGAAGTGTCCATACATTTTTCTGTCGTCACTGATAAAAGTACAGTCTGATGAAAGGATTCTTGTGGACGCTGTTCATCCTTGGTGGCTGTAAGAGATTCATTTTGGGTCCATCTTTCAGAAAGGTCTTTAGTATCTGTTTGGGCCTCACCTCCTGTGTCTGATTGACAGAAAACGTCTTCAGATGTATTTTCTGAAGCTGGGTTACTACTAATGACCAGAAGTTCATGAAGTTCCTTCAAAGCTGTCGTTATGGATGTGTATGACTCCTCTGTTGACTCCACAGAAGGCTGACAACTGCCACAAAGACTTAAAGAGGGGGAGCAACTGCCATATTCTTTATTTGTTCCAGATATTTTGACATTACTTTCTGGGAGGTGTAAATCCTGAGTGGAAATGGAGTTAGTTGAAATTTCAGATGAAGGGTGATATTTTGATGTTTCTACTTCCATTAAGGGATTATCTAAGGTGAGATCAGATGCACCGACGTTCTTGACACTCGCATTCTGACTGCCTGCTGAATTAAACATAGAAACCAGGGGCTGTTCAAGAATATCTACTTCCATTAGTGTTTCTGAATTTGAGCAGCCAGAGTATTCTGAAGGTAGAATATTTTCATCTGTACCTCGAAGGTCTACATTCTGCTGTAGCCTGTTCCCTTTGCTCTCAGCTTCTGAATCGACACAGTTTTGTTGGATCTGGCGCCTTTCTCCAAGAAGCTCAAGGTCCCCTGTGTTATAAGTATGTTCTCGGTCATGTGGCGCACCCTGTTGTACCACCTCATGCTGTTCATTCCCTGGTTCTTCATGCTGCTGAAGGCCATTTACTTGACTCAGATTCTGGTAATCTGGATGCCAATCCTTTTCACTGAAAAACATTTGTGGTTCACGTATCCTAGTGGCGGTGACCGATAAACTAGTTTCCTGTCTTGTATGGAGATGAAATTTGAAGCCCTGGGTGCTTTTTTCAGCAGATTTCTTTAGATTATCAGCAACAACTGCTTCCTCTGATGAATTCTGCAAAGGCATAGCTGGACTCTGGTCTGCTGGAGTACTGCCTGCTAAAGAAGCATGATCAGAAAGTTCCTGCAGAGGAAGAAGATGCTCTCTCTTTTCAGAGGTTATCCGGAGCTCAGCTGAAGTCTTCAAAGCCTCGAGAGCTGTAGGTTCAAGGCTACCCGGGTCACTGGGCTTTATAGGGCAGACTGAAGCAGAGACAGAGTGAGCAAGACTCGTATGATTACCAATCTCAGGACTCTGTCCTGAAGGATGGGCTAGATGGTTAAATCCATCTGAAGTTGGTAACGATGACATTCCCAGTGAGGTAGTTTCTTTACTGCTTTTCTCTATATGGAACAAAAGGCAAAGGGGAAACTAATTAGCAAGTAACAAAGACCACTAAAATATCAGAGGATACAAATGTAGATAGGATAGAATAAAATCAGGTCCTTAAACTCAGATTTGTCTTATACCTCAAATACAAGAACCATCTTCATTGTGGTAGATGATTTAACATCAGCGTGTTAGAGTAAGATGCAGACATGCTCTTAGCAAAACATGTATATTTTAACAATATGACTGTTCAAACACCATCAATAAGTATCTACATCATGGGTGGATTAGTGCTCAAGACTGATGGACATTTACGTATCTTTATTCCCAGTGTGCTTCAGACCTCTAGAAGTGGTGTTCTCTCCACCACTTGTCTTGAAAACACCTAGCATGCTGGTTAAGCATGCAGATTCTAGGGAACCATCCTTTGGGATAAACCTAGACAATTCTTTTTTAATAAGCTCTTCAGGTGATTCTTAAAAGCACATTACAAATCTTGAGCATCTCTATACTAGAAATGATCTTCTTGACAATGCATTTTTCCTGTTTCAAAAGTGAACACTGAGGTTATAAACGAGAAATACGATAATCAGGTATACCTAGGACAGAGCAGGGATCACAAAGAGAAATGAGACTGGAACGCTCGGAGTCCTCCTGAAGACAGAGTTGCAAACATTCTATCTACTTTATTCCCGGCCATGCTTCCCAAAAATCATGGTACAACTGTCTAAATGTGTGATTCAGAGAATTAAAGTAAAGCTAAAGATCAAACAGATTAAATCCCAATCAACCTACCAAATAATACTATTGCTTTAAAGGATTATTCATGTACTCTATCACATTAATATGGTACAGGAGATGGTTCACAACAGTTTTTCAATAAGCAATGATTATTCAGATTCACTGCAACTTACTGACCACTCACAAGATGGAAGGCTTACACAGTATAGACATCATAATGTGGTCCTTAAAGTTTCCTCTCTCCATTTCACACTGATCTGGTTATAAAAGGTCCTTTATGTACTATTATAGGAGCTCTAGTGATGTAGTGCCTAAGGCATTTGACTACCAACCAGAAGGCCGGCAGTTCAAACCCACCAGCCACACCTCAAAAGGAAGACTGGGCAATCTACTTCCATAGAGATACCACGTCGGAAACCCAAGGAGGGGTTGCTATGAGTCGGGACTGACTCGATGGCAGTGAGTCTGGTTTGGTATGTACTATTATAAGATCTTTAATTAAAAGTCAAAAGTCTGGTAACAAAATGACTTTACAATACCATCTATTAGGGCAGATACAACTCAAGATGCTTCAAGCTGAATGCTAACAGCCCACATGGGGGCTTGACCTTGACCTAAGTAGTCACGAAGCAATACAGTTATGACTCAGATGGCTCTAAATCATTTTAATCAGCATAGAAGACAGAGCACTATGTCAGGAAGTTATTGATGTCTCGTAAAATAATCTTACCTTATGGTTTAGTGGTAAGTAGGAAAAAACATTTATTGCACTTTAAACTATATCCATTAGAGTCTAGAAACATAGATTATTAGTTTTATTTATTAGTCCCTAAGGCTAACTTTGCAAGGGGTTCAATTTTCTGCTATACTAAGAGAAAAAATGCATTGCAGAGAAATATCCATGTTAACAACATAGAGGGGTATAATAATGGCCTTCTGGCATTAGTATGCCAGTTATACCCAACAAGGTGAGGTCAAGGTGAATACAGCCTCAATGGATTTTGTACTGTGAAAGCAGTACACAGTTCCCCTGTAGCTGAGACGGTCAGTTGCACTGGCCTAAGGTCTAAGTGTAGGGGAGGACTGGGGCAGTACTACAGGATGACAGAAGATGATGAGGACAAAGAACATTAAGAATTAACTATGCTTGCTTTTAACCCGTTTTTATAAGAAAAAAAGGAAGAAAAAAAATTTTAAAAATTAAACGCTCTGTATCCAATTACAACTAGCCTGTAAACCCCTGTATAGTTCCAGGTTGATAGTTAAAGAGACTATCTTTCCTCCTCTCTTGATAAATCATCCTATAAACTCAGGCTAACAATCACCATTATTTACACTATAGAGAAATAGAAGCAGAGTGACTTCTGTGGAGTTATCTGTCAGGCCAGAGAGAGAGAGAAGAACAAAGTCTTAGCTGTTGTAGTTGGGAGAATAAAACTGCCTATGACCCTGGACAAACTCTCTGTGACCCTGAACAAGTCACCTGGCCTGTTTCCATTTCTCTTTCAACAGAATGAGAATTTCTACCCTGCTAGCACTCCAGATGGTCGTGTGCAGTAACGTGGAGGGGGGAACAAAAACACAAAAGGACTTTCAGTTTTCTGGGAGAAAAAAAAAAGGGGGAGGGGCTCATTAAACCTGTAAGAACACAATTATCTCCAACAACAAAGTGCTGTGATACCGATGATCTTAATCTGATAGTCACCATGGTCACATGTGGTAGGTATAAATGGACACTGTTTTTACTGGGATTTTTTCCCTTGGACTGTTCTATCGTTGGTAGCTCTGGTGGCGTAGTGCCCAAGGTATCTGACTGCTAACCAGAAGGCTGGTGGTTCAAACCCACCAGTCACTCCTTGGAAGGAAGATTGGGCAATCTACTTTTGTAGAGATAGGGCCTTGGAAATCTAAGGAGGGGTCGCTATGAGTTGAATCGACTCGATGGCAGTGAGTAACTATCATTGGTAATATTTTAAACAGGAAATTGTACTTACATCTGTGTATCAACATACAAACATATATACAAGCTAGTTGTAACCAGATTAAACAAAGTAAAATAGTGAATGATGGAAGTTACATCCCAAAAGTGTTGCATGTACAGAGACGTTCAGACCACAAATGATGACTGGATGAAGGCTTAACATGGTGCTATAAATACCTGGTCTGGGGCCCACTCCAGCTGCAGTACACACACACTACATGCATCATGGCTTCTGACGCTCTGTTTGAATTAGGAAACAGACAAGCAAACTTGGGTTAACAATGCAAACCACACAGCATGCAGGGTTATAATCTCCCTTCCTTTGCCATCTTTAAAATCAGGAGCTGGTAGAATTAAAGAGGGGAGATGTTTCTGTAGATTTGTTGGTTACTTCAATTTTCTCACATTACACAAAACAACGTGGCAACTTTAACAGATTTTCAATAGAACTGGGAAAGAAATTTTACACACCTACACAGAGAATTCATGGGCAAACACATGAGACAGATAAGAAAGCAACACAAGTAGACTTATCATCAGGTGGAATTACATGATACAAAAACCTTTCCATGGCATAAAGTGAACACATATAGCAGTCATTCCCCAAATTTCTTTCTTCAGGTTTATTTTCAGAAGAAAATAAACCAAACCTGATTGAATTCTATCCTGACTTATCATCTTTATCTTTTAAACAGTTTTCAAAAAACACATCAGAAAAAAGTTCCTTTTCTGAATTATTTTTCAATTGATAGAAAAGATAAAGATCCTTTGGTGTGAAGTATCCACCAGCAAAGCAGCTTTTAGCAAAATACCTTTAACCTTTTACGTTCAGAATTTTAATTTTTATGATATTGGGAAGTCAATGTTCCAAGCAAATAGGACATATTATAAATTATTTCACTACTTCCAATATACAAATTAGCACAAGCCAAACATATCAGTAACACAAGGTCACATGGGTAAAAGTCACTTCTTTTAAAACTTTTCTAAAACTGACATACTCCCTATATTGAGCCAGTATCTACTTTAATCTCCTGAATGTTTTTATTAAAAAAGGTAATTACCCAAAGTAGGTAACTGTTAGAAGATTAGAAAACATTACTATTAGCTGGGGTTTCTTAAATAAAAATACCAAGACTGCAAGAAAAAACAGAAATTTCACAAAATGTTAATACAGTATTATGACTAACATGACAAATTAGAAGGGGAAAAAAAAAAAAAAGGCAAAATCTTGTAAGCAGCAAGGTCAAACTCATTCGCACTTACCTTGGGGGTAAGCTATTCATTTAGTATCTCCCTATCTGGTTGGTCAGAATTCTCCCCTTCTCACAAAATACTTAAGTCACATCCCAAACTGTACTTTTTAAGTAAAACTGAACCAGAAGGTGGTAGAATAGATTCTGAACAAGACCAGCTTAGAAAACTCCATCTGCTTCCACACCCATTCGAAAAAGCCTCGAGGACAGACCTCCGGAGGTTCTCAAACGACAAACAAAGCCAAAACCTGGCTGCTCATTTTAAGTTTATGTCCCCCCCACCTCCGAACATTTTATTGTGGTTCAGGTGAAACTTTCCATAGCAAATTAGTATTCCATTCAACAATCTCCATATACATTTTGTTTTGTGACATTAGCTGCAATCCCCTCCATATAGCAGTACTCGTCCCACTTCTGCCCTGGGTTCCCCATTTCCACTTGTCCTTTTTTCTTGGCCCTTCCTGACTTCTGAGCTGTTTTGGGGCAAATGTTGCTCTTCTGGTCTCATATGGTTGACTGTTCTCAGAAGCATGTTTTTCACAAATCTTCCTGTTCACTTTACAGGCCTATTGTTTGGCTGAAAGATGACCTCTGGGAGTAGGTTCAGTTCTAGGTTTGAAGGATGTGTAAGGGCCATAGTCTCAGGGGTTCTACTATTCTCTAACAGACCAGCCTGATAATATTTTGAACCATCTAGTTCTCTGGTCTGAAGACTACTGGATAGCTTGTATTATATTGCTTTTGTTCTTTAGGAAAAAGACAAAATACATCTTACTGTCCCAGAAAAAGCAATGTGTGATATTAGTCACACTGATGAATAATCCCAGCTCAAGACTTTAAAATAACCCAAACTTTAAAGTTAATTCTTTCCAGCTTCTGGAAAATGCATATGAGAGTCACTGATCTATAACAGATGGGGGAGAAATTGTTCACAGAGATGGGATTTCAGTAAAACTGTTATCTATTTTATCCAGAAAACTTGGCTCAGTCTTTAAACAGGCTATAACTTTAATCTTAGAAAAAACTATTAGGTACCTTGATTTCCACAGTTTATGCTGCTCTAATAGGGACCATTGAACTTAGTAATAACAGTAACACTATATTCTAATCAATGTTGAATTACTCTTCTCATTGTTGATACTACTGTCTTTGGTGGCAGCTCTTTCAGTGAAAAAGAAAAAGGTGAGGGCTGCTCAGTCACAAGGGACAATGTTATACTTCCAAATAAATGAACCTAAGAAAAGGAAAGAAAAGATTCACAGAAATACTGCTCATCTCAAAAAGAAGTTACCTGCTTACTGTTATAATTTTCTTTAAGGGGGGAAAAGAAAGACATGATTTTTAGGAAGCCTACAATAATGTAACTAAGCAAATAAATCCCCAATTAATCTTAGCTTCAGATTGTTGTTTCTTAATCTGTTGAAATGTGGAGTTTTTCTTTCCATACTGAGAGATGGGAGGAAGAAGTAAGAGGACAAACAACAAACACATCTACTACTGGACAATGAGACTGACGACAAACTGGAAAGGTCCCTATCCTCTGAAGCTTGTCTTTCCCTGGCTTACCTACGATGACATGGGTATTATTCAAAAGCTTGATCTTTCTAAATACCTGCATCCTCTACAGATTTTTGAAGGGCTTCTGCTAATTCTTGGTCTGCAATCTCCTCTGGCCGCAGGTCCTCTCGCCCAGCCCCATATGCCAATCTGGCACACTCTGGCAGCTCTCCCTCAGGAAGGAAGGTGGTCTGGGAGCCTGTGGTGCCGATCACGAGTACATTTTTCTTGAGGTCAATGGAACACTTAGAAGGAAAAAAGCAAAGGATAAGGACAGCAGATAAACTCCATGCAGAAAAATTAGGATCCTGAATTTGATTCACAAAGAGCAAATCAACAAGGACTGAGATGGTTCAAGAAACTTCTTTAATTTAGAATTAAAAAATATATATATTTAAAGTTTATACTAGAATAAGCTGTACAGGATTATAGTTTACATTTATTTGTCTTTAACAAATATTTTTTGTGTTAAGAAATTATTTCTTTCCAATTATGACGTAATGGATGTTCATTGTATAAAATCTGGAAAAACAGCAAGCATAATCAGCAGCCCCACCTTTTATAAGCATACAAATGACTTTTTACAAAATCGAGACCACACTAAATATACAATCTCACCTTTCAGTTCTATAAAGTACAGCTTAAAACTCTGTATCATATGCTCTTTTAAGATCTATCTTCTCGGGATCAAACTGACAACAGCAACTCGAAAAATTAGATAGGAACCTTAAGTGGACAGTAAACTTATGTTAATGGAGGAACAACTCAGAAAAGGAGAGTGAGAATGGTTGTACAACACAAAGAACGCAATCAATGTTATTGAAACGTACAAGTAGAAACTTAAACTGGTGTTACGTTTTTGCTGTATATATTCTCAAAAATAAATTGTTAAAAAAAACAAACACCACCACCCCTCACTCTATACCAGTGGTTTCAAAAGTGGTAGAGGTGCAAGGCCATCTCTAGAAATAGTACTCTTTATTTCATATTTATGCTAGCCCTCATCTTGTGTAGTTTTATAATTACTTTATATGGTAGTTGTACACATATATGGTTTATATTGATAAAAGTTGGAGACTGCTGGTCTGTATCACAACTAAATAATCCCACAGGGAAATAAAGTGTCATGTTAACAAATTAAGTTCTATTTATACATATATTTATACATCTCTTCTATTTAAAATGCTGTACTTTGATTAGAATAGCAATGCATGCTCTTTCATAGGAATTTAACATTTAAAAAATTTTTAAAGTATATTAATGTACCTAGTCGATTCCAACTAATAGTGCCCCTAATGACAGAGTAGAACTGCCCCAGAGTGTTTCCAAGGCTGTAAATCTTTATGGAAGCTGACTATCTCATCTCTCTCTTATGAAGCAGCTGGTGGGTTGGAATCAGCAACCTTTTGGTTAGCAGCCAAATGCTTACTCACTACACCACCAGTGCTCCTTAAAAGTAAGTAATGTGATATAAAAATGCTGACCAGATAGGAAATTCTGTAGTAAAAAAAATGTTATCACCTAGTGAACGCTTTCTTCAATGAGGGTGGTGTAACTTTTATTATTAGCCTGCAGAGTAGATATGTAAATATCACTGCTAATATATTTCTAAAGTATTCTCCCTGTGCTAAATATACATTCTCATTCCCAACATCACATGTACACCTTCCTTAATCTTAAAGGTCTGTTTCCCAAATACTGTTTGAGCAGTATTTAAGGATTATAGAGGATTTACTAAATTTACACTTGCAGTCAAATTATCATTGTGCCCGCAAATCCATCAGAAAACTACCTGAGATCTAATGAGAATCTAAAAATTAGCTGTCTGTTATGATCTCAAAGTAGATGGCAAGATTTGATAAATTCACAGAAAGAGGGTATAAAAACAGATTCTATTTCTACTGACACATTATTCCAATCCTTGGATGACATCATCAGTTAAGAATTTCTCCGTGTTTGAAGTCATGCTTCTTAGTTCTCTGGTATACACACCCAACAGAAATGATGCAACAATAACCATACAACATATGAAAAACAGATATAAAAAGAAAGTGATGCCCTTAATTACCTGATGTCGTTTAAGCATATCCAGCCCCAGAAGCATGTCCATAGGCTGTTCCTCAAGTATAGAGAAGGAACACGCCAGAAAATCTCCTTCAATCTGAACCTGAGCTAAAGCACATGAAGAAGAGAAGAGGTTACTGATCTCTGCTACAAGAACTCCACCCAGGCAGTTCTGAAAATTTATCATTCTGCGCCTTATTTCCTGCCAAAGGCAAAGCATGCACACAGGTGAGGAGTAAGTATGAAACTCCAGCTAGATCAATCACCCACCAGTTTAAAAGCCAATGAAGACACCAGCTCATAAAGTGGATCTGGTAGGACAACTATCCAGAATGCCTGGCTTGACCGACCCATGATGCCATTAGGAAACATAATCAACTAGTAAGGAAAGTAGGCATTACAGGATTAAAAAAAAAAAAACAAAACCCAAGTCCTCCAGTATCGACCACTTACTTTCTATACACTTACAAAAGGGTTTACTAAAAGAGAACTTAAACCTTTTAAATTAACTCCAAAGAGAAAACTTTTTAATAATCTTTTATAAACTCTATTATAATCAAACTTCTATCTGCCAAACCAGGGCCAACCGCAAGGTCTGTGTCTGCATGGAATCTCCTCTCTTGCCTCTTTAGTCAATTACTTTTCTTACTTTTTATATAGTATTTTAAAAAATTACTTTGTCTTATTAAATATACATTACAAACAGAAGACACATATCTTATAAATACATGTACAGCTTAAAGTATAATAAAAAAAAACCACCCATGGAATCTAGACTCTGTTTAAAAAATAGTAAGTTATTAACTCCCTGTACACCCTGATTGCAGCTTATTCTGTCTCTGCTCAACTATCCCGATTTCTGTTTTAAAAAATATTTATTCCCAGTTTTGTTATGTATTTCTAAACAACAAATGTGTTCAATTTTGTGTTTCTGAATTATGATTTTCTTCTTTTCTGCAAAAAAAAATTTTGGAATATATCCCTAGAGATGCATGTGACTATAATTTCTTTCCAACAGAATATGGAGATAATCAAACAATATCATTAATATTGCACGCAAGTAAAACTGCAAAAACAGTTGCAGCAATACATCAACAGGAAGGAAACTGCTAGAAATTAAAGCTGGATTCAGAAGAGGATGTGGAATGAAGAGTATAATTGCTGATGTCACATGGATCTTTCCTGAAAGTGAAGAGTATCAGAAAGATGTTTACCTGTGTTTTATTGATTATGCAAAGACATTTGACTGTATGGATCATAAAAAATTATGGATAACACTGCAAAGAATGGGAATTCTAGAACACTTAACTGTGCCCATGAGGAACCTGTACGTAGACCAAGAGGCAGTCATTTGAACACAAGGGAATACTGCAGGGTTTAAAATCAGGAAAAGGTGTGAGTCTGGGTTGTATCCTTTCACCTTATTTATTCAATCTGTATGCTGAGCAAATAATCCAAGAAGCTGGACTATATGAAGAACGTGTCATCAGGACTGGAGGAAGATACTTTAACAACATGTGATATGCAGATGACTCTGCTGAAAATGTGTAAGAATTAAAGTACTTACTGATGGAGATCAAAGACTACAACTTTACTATGGATTTATACCTCAATTAAATAAACCAAAAATCTTGACAAATGGACCAATAAACAACATCATGATAAATGGAAAAAAGACAGAAGTTGTCAGGGATTTCATTTTACTTGAATCCACAATCCATGTCCATAGAAGCAGCAGTCAAGCAATTACATGATGTACTGTATTACGGAAATCTGCTGCAAAAGATCTCTTTAAAGTATTAAAGACCAAGGATGTCAATTTGAAGGCTAAGGTGCACCTGACCCAAGCTATGATTTTCCCAATCATCTCATATGCATGTGAAAGCTGGACAATGAATAAGAAGATGACAGAAGAATTGATACATTTGAATTGTGGTTTTGGTGAAGAATACTGAAAATACCATGGACTGTCAAAAGAGAACAACTCTATCTTGGAAGAAGTACTGCTGGAATACTCCTTGGAAGCAATAATGGCCAGACTTTGTCTCACCTACCTTGATCATGTTGTCAGAAGACTAGTCGCTGGAAAAGGAAATCATGCTTGGTAAAGGTGGTTACTGAAAAAGGGAAAACCCTCAACAAGAATGGACTGACAAGTGGCTGCAACGTTGGGCTCAAGCATAGTGAAGATTGTGAAGATGGCCCAGGACCAGGCAGGCAATCTTTCATTCTGTTGCTCATAGGGTTGATATGAGTTCGAGGTGACTTGATGACACCTAACAACAACATATTTCTTTCACTTTAAACCATCCCTTCAAATACTGTAATGTCTAATATATAATCGAGTTATTCATTCTATTACAATTGGATTTACAGGTTGCTTCCAATTTATTCCATCATACGTAGTATTACCACAAACATCCTTGACACGTTTCCTGGCATGTCTTACCAGTTTCTTTAAGGTATATTCTAGGAAGTAGAATCACAGAGGGTCAGGTATATTATGCTCAACTATGACAAGAGCTCTGGTAGCGTAGTACTAACCAGAAGGCTAGTGGTTCAAACCCACCAGCCACTCCTCAGAAGGAAGATGGGGCAATCTACTTCCGTAGTGATACTGCCTCAGAAACCCAAGGAGGGATCACTATGAGTTGGGTCCGACTCGAGGGCACGTAACAACAACAACAACATGATGGGTGATGTTGAATATTTTCCAGAATGTTTCTAGCAGTGCATAAGAGCAGTATCATGGTAAGTGGAGAAAATATTGAAGTTGTCAAGGATTTCATTTTACTTGAATCCATAATCAAGACCCATGGAAGTTGCAGTCAAGAAATCAAATGATGTATTGCACTTGTCAAGTCTGCTGCAAAAGACCTCTTCAAAGTGTTAAAAGTGAGGATGGCAAGACTTTGTGCCACATACTTTGGACATGTTATCAAGAGGGACCAGTCCCAGGAGAATGGCATCATGCCTGGTCAACAAAAGAGAGGAAGACCCCCCATGAGACTGATTGACACAGTGGCTACAACAATGGGCTCAAACATGGCAACAACTCTGAGGATGATACAGTACCTGGCAGTTTCCTTCTATTGTACATCAGGATGCTATGAGTTGAAACTGACTCAATGGCATTTAACAACAACATGAGACTTCCAACTGCTCCACATTCTCACCTACTAGATTTAAAATCTTTGCTAATCTGGTATTTTATTTATTGTGATTTGGGTTCAAATTTACAGAGCAAATTCATTTTCCATACAACAGTTCATATATATTTTGTTTCATGACACTTACTGTAATTCACACAATGTAACAGCTTTCTCTCCACTTCCTCCCTGTGGTTATCTTCCCTATGTCCTTCTTTCCTATGCATTCCTGCCCCGCCCCCAGCTATCTCCCTGCACAAATACTGCCCTTCTAATCGCCCTTGATTGATTGTTCTAAGGATTGTATCCATCTGGCATAAATGTTCACCTGTCTATTGTTTGGCTGGAAGCCTCAGGAGTTGAGTTCAATTCCAGGCCCAAAGGGTAACTAGGGGTCATAGTTTGAGTGGTTTTACCAGTCTCTATCAGATCAGAATGATCTGGTAGCATAGTGGCTAAGACACTTGCCTGCTAACCAGACGGCTGGCAGTTCAAACCCACCAGCCGCTCCTCGGAAGGAAGGTTGGGCAATCCTACTTCCGTAGTGATACTGCCTCGGAAACCCAAGGAGGGGTCGCTATGAGTCGGGGCCGACTCGACGGCAGACAACAACAACAACATCATCAGATCAGAAAGCCTGACCTTTTTTAAAATTCTGAGTTTTGTTCCACATTTTTCTTTCACTCTATTCAGAACTCTTACACTGATCCCTTTCTGAGTGGTTGTAGCCAGGTACCATCTAGTTCTAGTCTCACAGTCAGGGAGGCAAAGGTTTACATGGTCCGGGAAGCGGACATTTACATGGTCTGCTAGTCTCTCGGACTATTTCCATGTATCTTTGGTTTTCTTCATTCTTCTTTGCTCTGGATGAGCAGAGACCAATTGTTGCATCTTAGATGGCTGCTTGCAAGCTTTTAAGACCCTGGTTGCTACTCACCAAAGTAGGATGAAAAACAACTTCTTTGGTAGTATGTTATGCCAACTGAACTTGATGTCCCCCATAACCATGGGCCTGTGGGCCCAGTGACTCTTTCCCTTAGAGTGTTTGGCTATGGGGAAGAAGTTTATCACAATGTTGTCCCATTAGCTCTATTATACATATGGATGTTCTTACAGTACATAAAAATATGGTATTTAATTTTTATTTGATTAGCAGTAAGGTTAAGCAACTTTTTATCTATTTATTAATGATATTGCTTTCAAGTGTTCCAAGTGTTTCTGTAAATTTTTATACTGTCTTTCTTACCGAGTTGCAGGATATCTACACACACAAACGTGTATATTCTGAGTATGAATCAGTTCTCTGTTATAATTTCCTTTCCCAGTTTGTGTTTGTTTATTCTCTTTACTTTTGATGAAAAGTTGTTAGTCTTAATGTGGTTGAGTTTATCAATCATTTCCTTCAAAAAACCCTTTCCCTATCTAAGATATTCTTCCATATTTTCTTCTAAAAGCTTTGAATGTGTCTTTTTTTTACATCTAGGTCTAAAAATCTACTTTGATTTGACTTAGTGTGTAATGTGAGGCAGAGTCCAACTTCCAATTTATTTCTTCCAATATAACCAGTTGTTCTAGTACCATTGCCTAAGACTTTTCCCACTGCTTTGTAAGATCTGGGCTCTCATTTATTAGAGTTCATATAAGCATAGGTCTATTTCTGTTCTGGTCTTTTGGTTTTGCTATCTGGAAGGGCAAGTTATTCAAGAGTTTTGTAATAAAATTTTAAATATGTAACTTTAAATTCACATATCAAGTCCTATCCAAAACAAAAATACTTTGCTTGGATTTTGACAGTATTATACTGACTCTGTAGATCAATGTAGGAGAGTTGCCATCTTTAACACACTGAGTCTTCTAATTCATGGTATAGCTCTCCTTTTAGTTTAGTTTTTTTGCGAAGTTGCAAATTAGTACCACTTGTCCATCCACAAAGACACAAAGGACATGTACTTTTTTTAAATGCATTTTATTGAAATATAATTTATGTACAGGAAAATATACAAAACTAAAGTGACATGGGTCAATGTATTTTTTGGGGGGGCAGTGTCCCCCCCCATCCCTGGTAACCAAAAAAGAAAGTTCCCTTCCAAATATAACCCTTTCCTTGACTTTTTACAATAATGAACTAATACTAATGTCCATCTGTGATTGACTTCTTTCATTCAGCATGTCCTCCAAGTTCATCCATGTTATACGGTATTTTGCAGATTCTACATTATTCTTTAGGGTTGCATAGTATTCCACTCTGTGCATGTATCACAGTTTGGTTATCCATTCTTCTGTTGATGTGCACATAGGTTGTTTCCATCTTTTTGCTACTGCAAATAGTGCTACGGATGAACATGGGTGTGCGTATATCTGTTCTTGTCCTGGTTCTCACTTCTTTAGGATATATACCTAGTAAAGGAATTGCTGGGTCAAATGGTATTTCTAATTCCAGCTTTTTAAGGAATCACCATATTGTTTTCCACAGTGGTTGTATCATTTTACAGTCCCACCAGCAGTGTATGAGAGTCCCAGTACCTCTACATCCTCACCAGCATTTGTTATTTTCTGTGCTACTGAACTTTCCCATTAGTGCTGGCATGAAATGGCATCTTACGTTGTTTTGATTTGCATCTCTCTGATGGCTAACGATCATGAGCATTTCTTCATGTATTTGCTGACTGCCTGAATATCCTCTTTGGTGAAGTGCCCATTCATGTCTTCTGCTCATTTTTAAATTGGACTGTTAAGTGTCCAATCATGTCTTCTGCCCACTTTTAATTGGACTGTTAATCATTTTGTTGTTGAGGTATTGGAGTTTCCTATAAATTTTAGAGATAAGTCTCTTGTCAGAATTATCGACAAGTATGAATTTATTGCTGTCATTTTGTTATGTGCTTTCTTGTGGTGTTGATTTCTTTGTTCCATATAATTTTCTGTGCTGAGCTCATTTTGTTTATGAATGGTGTTATCACTTCCTTCGTTGCTATTAGACATGTACTTTTTTTAAATGTTTGCTCCTCTTATTGTCTCTCACTGAACACTATGAGATACAAGACTCTGAAGTAACCAGTTTGTGGTATCCTGCCCAATGTCCGACTGTGAAAATGTATGAGACAAAGGTATTTAAACTATCTTTAGTCTATATAAACCAAAAGAAGAAACACAAAGGCCCTGATATTACAAAAAAAAAAAAAAAAAGAGGCACAAAAGGCAGGATCACCAAAATAATGACAAAATCTTCCATATTTCCCAAGTAAAAGAGGATAAATTTCACCTAATACACTAAATAGGGAAGAGAATGTCTGTTTATTAAATGATGCTGGCAAAACTTGTTATCTGTTTGCAGAAAAATGTAAAAAAAAAAAAAAAAAAAGAGGCACAAAAACAATCATTTATAATTATAGAAAAGTAACTTAAAACAATAAAAAATCATTTTTTTACTTATAAATTAAAGGTAGGACCTAGTAATACTCAATCATCATATAAGGATGTATAAGATGAATATTCATGGGAGCTCTAGTAGTGTAGTGCCTAAGGCATTTGGCTGCTAACCAGAAGCCTGGCGGTTCAAATCCACCAGCCACTCCTCGGAAGGAAGACTGGGTAATCTACTTCCATAGAAATACTCCCTCAGAAACCCAAGGAGGGGTTGCTATGAATGGCAATTGACTTGACAGCAGTAAATTTGGTTTGGTCTTGGTTTTAAGATGAATATTCATTCAGTACTAGAGAAAACAGACTGGTACACATTAGCAATATACAGGGAGCCTTAAAGCAATCACAACCTTTGACTCATTAAGTTTACATATAGAAATCTTGACTAAATCAAAATGTGCGTAAAAGTACATATAAATTCACTGCCATGTTATAATGACAAAATATGGGATTAAAACCATATCCCAAAAGTTGACTGTTAAACCCATATAAAAATTACTGTGCACTTATTTAAACTTAAATGATGTTTATCAAAGTAGTACAGAGAAGGGGAATATGTTAATGTTACTTGGAGTATAAAATTCTATCCATCATATTACCATCTTTTTACATTTAAAAAATACACACAAAAAAGACTGGAAGGAGATATGCCCAAATGCTAATGGAGGATGATTTACACTGCATGGAAAAGACGTGAGGTACATTTGTTTCTTCTCACATTTTGGTACTTTCCAAATTCTCTACTATTACCCACTGCTGTTGAGTCGATTCCAACTCACAGTGACCCTACAGGATGAAGTAGCCCTGCCCCATCATGTTTCCAAGGCAGTAAATGTTTATGGAGGAGCTCTGGTAGCATAGTGCCTAAGGCACCTGACTGCTAACCAGAAGGCTGGAGGTTCAAACCCACCAGCCACTCTTCGGAAGGAAGGTTGGGCAACCTACTTCCATAGTGATACTGCCTCGGAAACCCAAGGAGGGGTCGCTATGAGTCGGGTCTGGCTTGATGGCAAATAACAACAACAACAAATCTTTATGGAAGCAGACTACCACACTTTTTTCCTGGAAGCACCTGGTGGGTTCAAACCACTAACCTTTTGGTTAGCAGCTGAGGGCTTAACCACTGTGCTACCAGGGCACCTTCAAATTCTCTACAGTGAGTATTAATTAAGAGGATAGTGAAAGAAAAGAAAATGAGGATTGTGATTAGAACTGAAAGACTGAACACATATATCCATCTCCATTTACTTCAAAGAAATGACAAGAAAGATGTTTTGTCTTATTTTAAGGCAAAAGTCCACAAGGACAAAAATAACAGAAAACAAAACAAAATTTTGCAACTAGAAAGCAGATGGCAGTGAGGAAAATTGAGAAGCAACCTAATTAAATCACAGAACTCCTAAGAGGTGGGCCCAAAGCAGGACGATTGGTTGAAAAGCTATGTTGACACAGACCTTGGTGTTTTCCTCCTGCCCTCTGCTAAGCAAGGTGACTAACCTCCACCTCAGCAATAGACTGAAAGTTTACTTTTCTAAAAGGGTAAAACAGGCTCTCCTAATGGAAGTGGGTTTGGAAGCAGATAGACACAACAACAAACACCTTAATGAAAACCAGAGAGAAGTTGAAGTTTACTAGTCTTATTCTCTCTCTGCAGTTCCTACCAGATCACTCTACAGTGAAGACCACAGCTACATGGCTGCCCATTCAAGCAACTGTCCAAAAAGCCTTTTGGTGACCTACTCTTCAACATGAGCAGATGCCAAAGTTACCAGAACCTTGAGAAAAAAACCTAAAATGAAAGACAAACACAAAATGGAAAAGAAAATCTGGAACACAAAAGTTGAGATCATCTTGCAAACAAACACCAAACAGAACAAAATTAAAGCAAGGAAAAAATAAGATTAAAGGGTAAGTCTAGGATTGGAGATTACTCTATCTAAATAGCAGCCCAGTAGCGGGGAGAAATCATTATCAGAATCATGCACGGACAGTCTCCAAAAATGATGGACACAGTTTCACCAAGTATCCAGGACAGCAGATGAAGAGAACTGTAGGAAGTGCATCACTGTGAAATTTCAAAATACTAGGGTCAAAGAGAGATCATACCGGCTTCAGAGACAGAAAAGCAGTCTTTCATACAAAAGATGAACCATCACAATAGCACCTAGATTCTCCACAGCAACACTGACAATGAAGAAGTTACGGGGCAATACTTCAAAGCTGCAAAGGAAAATGATTCCCAACCTGGCCAGATTGGTAGACTGGGGGGAGGGTGTGTGTGTGCATGTGTGTGGTGGTTTGGTATGTTCTGTTAGTAAGGTCTCAATTTACTCTTAAGCACCTTCCTCAGGAGTTTCTGGAACACACATGCCAGTAAACTGAGGAGTAAAATAAGAAAGAGGAAGACATGTAATTAGTACCCTAAACAAGGCAGAAGTGAAAGGAATTCTTGGGATAATGGTTGGGGGAGATTTTAAAAAGACAGCTGTGAAGCAAGCCTAGAGCCATTAGCCCAAGCTGAGGCAGATCAGAGGTTCTGGAAGAAATGTCTTCATTAAGATGAAATATATGGAATACTCGATATGTTTAATCTATCAAAAACAGATGTATACAATCAGGCAAGTGATTGGAAATGAATAATAGAAAATCAAATGACCAAAAAAAAAAATTAAAAAAAAAAAAAACCAAAAACTAATTCCAAGAAAAAAGAACACTAGACAAGAAAGGAAAGGCAATCATACTGAATTAGATGGCTCATATCTCAATAATACTTACACAGTCACATTATTAAAAAAAAACAACATGTTAGGGATACCAAAAGAATTCAGCTGAAATAGCTGAAAGGGATTATTACTCAAGGAGCAGGAAATTGAAATGCCTAATGTTTTCTGTAACCAGCTGAAATATGTAAAATATGACTCTGATCCAACCCAAACCAAACCCAACCCACTGCCACAGAGTGGATTCCGACTCACAGCAACCCTTTAGTACAGAATAGAACTGCCCCATGTGGTTTCCAAGGATGTGAATCTTTATGGAAGCAGATTCCTTGCCTCAGCTTTCTTCTGTGGAGCAGCTGGTGGGATGGAGCTGCTGACCTTTGGGTTAGCAGCCCAAGAGCTAACCATGTGATTTTGACAGAACACTGGATTTAAAGTTTCTAGAAATTAGGCTTGCTGGATCAGATGTATGCACTCAAAAGAAATCTAAACTCAAACAAAAAAAACCCCACTACCTTATCAAAAACCATTAACTCCCAGTGCCTTTCACTCACCTAGATGTACCCTTCCAATAATCTTCTGGGTGCCCACTCCTTTAGCAATCCCTGCCCACCGACGGTCCACCAGTCTCATGATATTACACCTTTCGGCACAAGCTTGGCTCATAATGGTCATCTGGGCACCTGGAGGGGGAGGGAAACATTGGATAATAAAAACAAAATCCAAATTTGTGCTAAGACTTCAAATACAGCACCAAGAACAGTCAAAAAGCAAGTGTACCCCATGCTTCTGTCGGTGTCAAATCATTCCTATCTAGCAGGTTTCCTGCCCCAATTAATTCAACTCTCAGTTCCATGTTGAGATCTCAAACAATGTGGAAACCTGACATTGGGGGGAAAGATACTTGTGGTAGTTAAGTCTGTTTGTCAACTTGGATGGGCCTGGTTGAGTGGCTGGGCAGCTGGATGTAGTATTCCCCATGAGACTGGTAAGCCATGGTGGAATCTACTGTGAGCAGCTGAGTAGCTGCCTTATGAATGTGGTCTGCTTCCTGTATATAAGGAGAAGCCTTAGGAAACAGTCTCTAGCTTATAGCACACATGAACCCTGCATGTAGCCGTGTCACTGTTCAGCAGCCTGTTATGCTCTGCTGGCCTTGGGAATTACAGTGGACTTGAATTAATGGCCTGCTGTGTGGTTTGGTAACATCGGGACTGTGCCATTTTGTTTGTCGACCTTGGGCTTGTTAGCCTCAGCAGCCAGTAGCTGCCTCAGTGAAGAAATGCCTCTAGCTTCAGTGGGCCGGGAGCAAGAGGCAGAGCTGAAGCCCAAGGTCAAGGGGCTTTCACACAGCCCCTAGAGCCTGGCACTTTGAACGTGGACCTCGAGCCTCCCAAACTGTAAGAGAATAAATTCCTGTTTGTTAAGGCCATCCCATTTGTGATATATTCTTGTCAGAGTGGCACTAGGCAACCAGAACAATACTCTATTGCAATGTAATATTTAAATGATATTTTAAAACTTTACCAATAGAAAGCAAAACTATCTGGAAAGGAGCTCCCAAAAGCTCAAACGATGACCACTGTATATCTACAGATGGAGATGCTAAACTAATCACTACCTTACAATTAGCAGTTTTCACTGAGCATATCCAAACATTTATTTCAAACTCTAGGACATTATTTCTCTGGCTTCCAAACTACTCTGTGGGTAAAATATAATTTAAGGTAAGGAAACAGCTGTGACCTTCGTTGTTGTTATGTGCCGTCAAGTCGGACCTGACTCATGGCGACCCCTCCTTGGGTTTCTGAAGCGGTATCACTATGGAAGTAGACTGCCTAACCTTCCTTCTGAGGAATGACTGGTGGTTTTGAACCTCCAGCCTTCTGGTTAGCAGTCAAGGGCCTTAGGCACTATGCTACCAGAGCTCCTGTTCTGACCTTTAAGGGTAGAGAATTCTTCAGATCCATCATTGCCTTCAGTCTTCAAACATCACCTTGTTCTGGTCACTTACTCATCTACTCAAAAATCCTCAATGACTCCCACTCTTTGTAAGATTAGTTTCATAGCACACGGCCACAGCTTCAGATTCCACCTCCTCCTGGCTGCACTATTTATTTCCAATTGTAACATTCTGACTAAACCCCCCACTTTGTTGTTGTTATGTGCCATCAAGTTGTCCCCGACTCATAGCAACTCCTACTTGGGTTTCTGAAG